GATTGCAGAGGGGAAGAAAGAGTTATTGAGTCTTGTTGTTGTTGTTGTCCGTTTAAGCGCCTTTGGGTTTTAGTTGATTGATTAAATGATTAATGGCTGATTGATTGCTTTTTTTGGTAGACTACCAATTTTCCTCTGTGAAGGACATGAGGCCGAAACATGTTTTTTATGACATGACAAAAACTGGCAAGGTGCATCCTATCTATGATCTAACTATCACAGCTTTAATGTCATATTAGAATAAGATTTAAACTTAAACTACAATATTCTACCTAAAACATTACAAAAGATAAGAGCAATAGAAAATGAGAAATAATGAGGTACAACAATGTAAATAAATACATAAAATACATTTTATGGCTGCTGCTGTTCCAGTATTTCTATGATAAATGCAATAAAAAGAAAACATTGCATAATTTGAGATAAAGGAGAGCTGGGTTGGATTCAGCCACTGTGGACAAGATGGATTACCAACTGGATAAACCGGATGAGCCGTCAATTGCACCACAAATGCAAAATACAAATACAATGATTTAACATGAACCCTGCATTTTTTAAACATTTGTTTAATCAAATGACTACAAACTAACTGCACACAATAAAACATGAAGACGAGTTCCAGCTGCATTAGGACTTGTTAGGCTCTAAGGATTTAAGGCAAAATACAGTAAAGTATAGGTGTCGTATACACTGAACCTGATGACACATACGCATCACAGTACAGAACAAACTGTACGTAATGTGCAGATGGTGGAAAGAACAGGTCTTTAACATGGGCCCAGAGCTCATTTTTCCCAGGGGCCCTAGTGCACGACTGGATTAACCTGCTTGGAGTCTCTGGAGAAAAAATGCACAGATGGGCCCCTGTTAACCATTTTGTTACACTCAACTATGGTCATCATGTATTTCCCCTTACTGGAATAATAAAAAACCTGATCTTGAGACACTAAGACAGTGTCTCAAGATCTATTTTCTATCATCTCTTTGAGTGATTCAGCCTTAGTAGTCAAATGTTCATTGCTTCAAAATTTAAGATGTCTTTATGGGCTTTCTCTCCAACAACAAAGTTGTAGTTGCATCTCCAATCAGGTCATTCAGAGATATAAAAATAACAATATAAAGTACTGAGATATACAACATGACAATAACAATATAACAGTATTAAAATATACATTGTTCATATATAATATCATTATTAAATATACTTTATTTATATATAGCACATTTCAAATACAGAGGCAATTCAAAGTGCTTTACATAAAAAACTTAAAACAATAAGTAGTAAACGAAACAAAAAAACAACCCAGAACAAAATCAATTAAGATTAAAAAAAACGATGAAATTAAAACAATAAATAAATTGAAATAAAATACAAATGACATTTACAGTGCAGTAATAAGTTGTAAGTTACCCCAAATGCAACAAAAGGAAATAAAAATGCAACAGAGAAACCAATTAATTAAACGAAAAGGCACAGGAGAACAACAGAGTTTTTAAATCTAGACTTTAAAATAACGTTGTATCTGAGATCCTCAGGAAGTTGGATACATCTGTGCTGAAGTTGTCTGACATTGTCAGTTTTTGGGAAGACTAGACAAGAGATTGTTATAATAGTCGACCCTGCTGGAAAAAGGAATACGTTTCTCTAAAGACCTTTAATTCTTGCTAGTTGTTTGAAATACCCCCTGATGTGGCTGCTGAAACACATCTGATTCTGTTAAAACACCAATATCTTTGGGTTTTCTATTTATATCTCTGGAATCCAGCTAAGCAATAACTTTTATCTTTGCTCCTTGTTGCCAACGATTTCTGTCTTGTCAATATTTAATTGAAGGAAAGTTAATTGCATCAAGTTATTTATTTGCTCCACACATTGATAGAGTGAGTGAGTACAAGTACATGTACAGGCTCAATAATAGAGGCCCGAGAATCGAACCCTGAGGGACTCCACATGTGGTGATTTGCTCAGTTTTATAATGATCTGCCTTTGAGATTTGTGCCAGATAATCCCGCCCCAATTTCCAGAAGAAGTCAAGAAGTAATTTATGGTCCATGTCACCAAAACTGATAAATGCAGTCGGTTGTGTAAAGTAACACTTTCAAGTACTTCCTTTTACTTTACTTGATTTTAATTTTAGCTAATTTCTACTTCTACTCCACTACTTTTCAGAGTTAAATATTGTAGTCCACTACAGATGAGGTGGATACTTCAACAGATTAAGACTTTACTAAACAAATCATATTATTATTATTTTTTTAAATATGACACCGTGCTATAGAGTTAACTATCCAACAGCATATAAAGTAGTTACAATGTGCTCCACCTCCATATACAGTATTAGTAATAATATTCCAATAATATGATATATTTAAGATGTAATACTTCTTTACTTTTACTTAAACCACTTATATGCAAAATATGGACTTAAATAAGTGAATAATAAATAATAAATAAGTGGAGCATGCAGGAAACAAGATGTATTAGGACTATAAATCCTTCTTCATCTGAACTCATTGGTCCTTCAGTGGTTCACGCTGTCCCCCCTCTGACCTTTAGGGTTTGTGTTACAATGGACCCTATATGTCACTCTGACACCATTAACTACATCATTTTATAGCTGCAGCCACCTCTAAGGTCACCAATCGTGATTACATTTCCAGCTCAAAAGGCCAAGTTGCAAAGGTTAATTCATCCCCTGAATTAAAGAGCAGTGTGAGAGAAAGAGAGAGAGAGGGAGAGAGGAACCAGGCGCACAGGGGCCCGGATAGAGTTTCTCCCGGTAAGAGATCTCTCTGACCGCCATATAGATTCGGTTTCTACACCGCTGTGACTCTTCTTGACATCAACACATGCAACATTTCACAACATTTCACCAAGAGTTATAACTAGTTGTTTCTTTTTTCTTCACGATTATGATTATTTTTTCCTTTTTTAAACTCTAGATTAAACTCATGGTGATCGCCGAGCGCGCTTCGCGGTCGCTGCCCGGCGTAGTGTTACCTTCCTCGGTGCACGATGGGCTCGTAAGATGCCTTCGTTGTGGAAACGGATAACGTTCTCGGTGGCCTCGGTGCTCTGTGTCGGCTCCGTGGTCCTCCTGGTAGTGGCCCTGTCCACGGAGCGGTGGGTCGTCGGGCGGATCCTGTGTAAAACCGGGGCGGAGATAGTGAACGCGTCTCATCCGGAGCTGGACCAGTTCATCGGGGACATTTACTACGGTTTGTTCCAGGGAGGAAAGGCCAAGAAGTGCGGGCTCGGCAAGAGGCACTCCAAAATATACAGTAAGATTAACAGATTAATAGATTCTTCTTAACACTATTTAGGTTGTGTGTGCACCCAACTTAAATATGGAGACACAAAGTATTTAATATTAAATTAAAAATACAGCTTAAATAGCCTATATAACCATGGAATTGTGAGATAATACAGTAACTCCATCAATAAGCAGATTCACATGAATGTATTGTCTAGTAAAAATGTCACATATTATATATATATATAACATTCAGATAGATCAACACAGTATTAACTCAATAAAGCAAACTTTAACCATCCGATGAATAGCTCAGCTCACACTATTAAGATAGATAGAAGATTTAAGAGCAATATATGTCCTGGAGATCACAAAGTTTTCCAAAAATGCCAAATATATCAGTGTGAAATTTGGGGAAATGTATTTAAGATGATGCACAATGCATCTAGAATATGTCAATTTCTTTAAAAAAAGTTAATGATATAATCTGTCTTCTGTTAAGTAGGCCTATTTAATTTGATGTAAACATATAGCTTATATAATACTCAGACAGTGGAATACAATTATTTTTCCAGCTTTAAAGACACTTCTTTAGCACAAATATTAAACTTGTTTACTGTTTATGATATTTTTTTTATTTTTATTTGCCTAAACAATCAATAAAAAGGCTCCTAAAGAGGATTGCCACCAGCTCTCTTTTTTATATTAAAATAATAAAAAATACACATAACAAGCCACATTACCGATACTGCTACATACGGCAAACATACAAAAATGCTATTTTAATTTTACTGACATAAATATCACAATACAAACATATAAAGTAACTTCACATCATTGAATTTAAACACTAGATCCAAACAATACCTTAGTTCATAATGTGTTACAAAATGAAATAACTAACATAGTAATACACCAACATTTTTATGCAAGTATGCAACATAACATCCTGTACTAGGATGAATCTGAGGACATTATCTTATGTGTGTTTTCATGATGTTCCACTCAAATTCAGGTGATATTCAGGTGATGTACGCAACCTGCTCATGCTCAACCTTTACTTTTCAAACCTTCTTCTTGTATGATCACATACACACATACAGTATAGGCCACTCTCCTTCAGCTCAGCCTTGTTTAACACAGTTTGGATACTGCCAGTATCAGCGTTCATCAGTCTGTCAATGTGTGTTTTTATG